GAGCTAATGGCAGCTGAGGAAATCAGGATTGGCCAAAGCTGCTGGCCCAGCCTCCCCATGGCTTCAAACATGCTCCCCCCTTCTACACCTGACAGGCAGTTGTCTGTCAGGTGCAGCAGTGGCTGCAGGGTGCTTAAAAGCCATCAGGGAGCCTCCACAATGGCTTCCAATACCCCTCCCCTCCTACACTGGACAGGCAGCTGCCTGTCAGGAGTAGGAGAGGGGGTGGGATGCTTACAGCCGTCAGGGAGGCTTGCTCAGCAGGATTGCCTTAGCACTGCTGCTGGCCCAGCCTCACCAATGCCTTTAAACACACTCCCTCCCAACACCAGACAGGTGGGTGTCTGTCAGGTGTGGGAGCAGGGCCAGGATGCTTTAATCCATCAGGGAGGCTGCCTGAGCAGAAACACCTTAGCAATGCTGCTGGGCCAGCCTCCCCAGTGGCTTTAGACACACTCCCACACACTCCTCCTCCACCTGACAGGCAGTTGTCTGTCAGGTGCAGGAGCAGGGGCAGAGCATTGAAATCTATTTGGGAGGCTGCCCAAGCAGCATCTCCTTAGCAATCCTGCTGGCCCAGCCTCCCTGATGCCTTCAGACATGCTACCCCTCCTACACCTGAAAGACAACTGCCTGTCAAGGGTCCTTAAAGCCATAAGGGAGGCTTGCTTAGCAGGATTTCCTTAGCGCTGCTGCTGGTCCAGCCTCCTGATGCCTTTAAACACAATCCTCCCCCCCTCTTACACCAGACAGCTGGGTGTTCGTCAGGTGTAGGAGCAAGGCCAGGGTACTTTAATCCATCCATAACCTTAGCGATGCTGCTGGCCCAGCTTAGCCACACTTGCATCCATGATGGAAATATACTCCAAATTTGTAGAAAAATGGTTTCCTGTATTAGGTTATATAACTTCTCACAATGTGGGTTCTAGAAAATTGGTTCATATGAACTTGCTCAATATCTGATTGCTCAGATGTTGTTTTGAATACGTAGTTATGTCCCACTTCTTAAATGTAATACAAATGAGAAGCATTTTTGTAAAAAAGAAGAAGAAGAAGTAGTAGTATGCCCTGCACCCCACCCAATCCAATACCCAGGCCAAACCCCTGCATCAAGAAACCCAAAATAAGGGGAGTGCATTCCTACCATGATGTCAACTCCCCCATGAAGAGATTTCTGAGAAACATGACCCCCTAAGGGGGTAAAAAAAGGGGCAAAATGTGTTTCCCCAATTGTTTTCCATGTGCCTCGCAGGCTACTGCCTCTTTGCCTCCCCAGATTGGTCAACTGTGTAGCTCAGAGATCTGAGGTAAAACCTTCCTGCTTGCACCCACCTCCCTCTGATTGCTCAGCTGTGGATCTCAATGTTCTGAGGTAAAAACACAGTTAAAAGCCACTGCAGACAGTTGAGGACAGTTACAGAAATCATCAATTCAAGACTTCTGAATAGACATTTCTCATAACAGCCAGCATGGCAATTGAGTTTATGGATGTTCATGGGGAGATAGTAAAGGACCCTTCTAGGAGCCTGATCCAGAGTGAGCTCACCAAGCAGCCTGGTGATCCTAGCAGCTGAGGGCAGAACCACCACTGTGGTCTACCGAGAGATCCTTCGGTAGAAAGGAAAAAAAGTACGTATGTCTCACTTCATCCTTTACGCTACAATCTTCTCTATTAGTATTCCTACAACAAATGTTACCTTTCAAACTTCACATCATCAGTATTATAACTGGATTATAACTTATATACCGTAGCGAAGCATGGGTAAGCAGGCTAGTTTTATATAAGACACCAAGTTTGCAACCCTAAGGACCAGGGCCCAGGCACTCTTGGCTATGGGGAGCCCAGGCAAGCCCCCACTTGAAGGGGAGGGAGGCAATTTAAACTGCATTCCCTTGGCTTGCCTGGGCACCCCATGGCTGAGGGAACCCAGGCAAGCCGGCCCTTGTACAAGTTGGGGATCCTTCCAGGGCTCCCCCACCTGAGAGTCACGGGGGGGGGGTGTCGCTCTCCAGGCCTTCCCTCTGTAGCCACACATGAAGAGGTTTTGACTGTAGTGGGCGTGGCCAACTCTGAAGCCAGCCGGAACTCTGTTCCTGTGCGTTCCTGCCC